TGTGCTCTAACAGTATGGGGAGAGCAATTAGAGTCACGTAACAATGTATGTATAAATTTTTGTATGGGAAAAAATAAATTAAAAAAAAAAATACTCCTTTGATTGATTTATCTTCCTTGTGCTTCTAGTTGATGCTGCAAACATCTCAAGTCAAAGTTTCTAACTGCTCTGGAAAAAGTCAGAGTAGACAAGGGCTAAGTGCAGACATGAGCAGCTCCATTTTATAAACAAAGTTTCGACCTTCCATTTTATTCCACTGAACTTCTTTGAAGGGTCCACGAAGATGATTCCACTTGCTATCTTGTAAAACATCACTTTTTGGGAGGTCTTTACACTGACTACGGGGAAACTGAACCAGGATCTTGCTGCCACTTTCAGGGCCATTACGAACTGTGGAGTAAAACCAAAATATCAACACACTCATTTTCCAAATCAGAAAACAACAAGGGTAAATTCCACAACTTCATTCTATTGTGAATACAAAAACCTTGTCTGCCCACCAACTTAAACATTCTTGTTTAAAAATACTTTTCCGTTTCAATATGCTAAGCAAACATGTACTAATTTATATATACCAGGCTGGTATAAATACATCAATTACTGTTTGCAATATAAAAATTAAGCAAGCTGAATTTTGGTTTAAGGATATCAAATGTCCTACATATTTTCAGGAAATTACCAACTTATTTTTTTTTAATGCATTCATTTGATATTTTAGTGATTCAACGAGTTAGTTAATATATACCTATTATATAATGAAACTCAACTATTCAGAATCAGGACTGGGAGGGATAAGGGAAAGATTAATCTGAATTAAGAATTTTAGGTTTTAATAAAGTTTAAACTATTACTCATGAAAGAAGAAAAGGGTATTTTGAAACTTCTATCAGTGAAGACCCAGCAATGTCCAAACCTGCAGATTCAGAAGCTGTGATCCTGTAGGGAAAAGTTCTGAATTACCTACTCTTTCAAATATTTTTAAGGTATTTAGGGAAGATATTAGAAAAGATCACACTAAAAACAGGAGCACCCTAAATATAAGTTTAAACTAGATAACGTACGTGCAAGTGTCTATTATAAAGTCCCTGACTCATCCTATTGCCATCGAATAGATTCCAACTCATAGCGACCCTGTAGGACCAAGTAGAACTGTCCCATAGGGGTTCCAAGGCTGTAAATCTTTACGGAAGCAGACTGCCACAGCTTTCTCCCGAGGAGTGGCTGGTAGGTTCAAGATGCCAACTTTTCAGTAAGCAGCCGAGTGCTTCAACCACTGTGCCACCAGGGCTCCTAGCAGGTGCTTGATAAAACAGCTCTCCTCTCTGTTCCATCCCTTTACCATCTTTAGGATCAGATATCATTCCTTCCAAATTTGCAGCAGTACATTTTTAAAAAGCTAATATCTTTAATCAATTAAAGGCTTAAAACGGCAAGCGTAACAATGCTGACGACAGTTTTCAGTCTCTCTCCTAGGAAACTTATGTTGCTAAGCAAAACATTTTTTATAACTACAGAAAAGAGAAGTAATAACCTCTTGCTCTGAATAGCTATGGTCAGAAAAATGCTCAACATAAATAGTACATTAGCTCACTTACTGCAGAGGTTAATCATTCTTAACTATGTGTAACTATTAAAGCTAAATGTTAAGACCGAACTCCCAATGGTCCCTTCTCATTCAAACAAGCAGACAGTACCTGAGATGGCATAGTCACCACTCGGGGAGGCTACTGTTATGGCGGAGGCATTGCCAATACTCTCTATGGGCCCGAGTCCCACATGATTACTGAAGCTTAGTACTTGCCATCCCATCACCTTGGCTAGCTGCTGAACTGCATGCACCTGATGCTGTGACATCTGTGAAGAAAAAAGGAAACTTTATTGACAATCAGCAGGGATATTTACTTTGCAGTGACTTAGCATAATGATCACAAACTAAACTTGTTGCGGTTTTCACTGCCTAGCACAGGAACCCTATCTTATGTTTGGGGAATCCTCCTCTGGGTGAGTACTGGGGGAGACAGCAGGATGCTACCTCCCACTGCAGAAGCTAAATTAACCTTTCCCTGCCCAGTGGCAGCGGGTCACAGGCACATGACCTAAACTTGGCCAGCTGGAGACTCCCATCTCGATCACTGAATCTGGAGGAAGGTGCACTGAATAGCTTCCATTTGCCGCTCCAAATCCACTCACCAGCTTCCTGTGCCCTCTCGCTTCAGGCTGGGTTCAGGTAACAGGAACCGGGGCAGGATAGCAAGGGAGTGAGGCCAGGGTATTGATTCCCCTGGTTGCTTCCCTGAGAGGCTGTCTCAGCTGGCTGTGCCCCTTGACAACAGACTACTAGTCTTGTCAAGGTGGCCTATTCTCCATGACTCTTTCCTTTAGGGTCCCTATAGCCTCTCCCTCTCCGTATCCCTTCGGACCTATGACTGATACCTACTAAGTCCCCTGAGCCTGGTACTATTAGCAAGTTGCTGCACTATCCCTTGTGGTTCTCCTCCATCCGGACCTTTGTAAATACAATCAATTCTTGTTATTCACAGTAGTTATGTTCTATAAAGTGCTGCAAACACTGAATTAGCGAATACCGAGCTTTGTTCAACCTACAAGTTTTTCACCTCTCTGCACATGTGCATAAGGAGCCCTGGTGGTGCAATGATTAAAGCACTTGGCTGCTAACCGAAAGGTTGTCAATTAGAACCCACCAGCAGCTCCAAAGGAGAAAGATGTGGCAGTCTGCTTCCGTAAAGATTACAGCCTTGAGACCCTATGGGGCAGTCTACTCTATCCTGCAGGGTTGCTATGAGTCAGAATCGACTCCACGGCAGTGGGTTTTGGATGCATGTACATGTCCATGAATGATCACAAAAGCACTGTAAGTATTGACTTTGGGGTTACAAATAAATACTAGTGAGTAGGGAAATTCACAAATACAGAATCCGCGAACAATGTGGACCAACTGTAGGTCCTTAGAGACTCTTCTGGACTTATACTCCTGTGTGCCTGTTTCCTGTTAAGACCCTGGCTGATAGTCAGGGACAATTCAGAATGCATTCTGCCACCAGTGGTGAAGGCAGGAGTGCCAGGCTGGAAACATGGCATTTCCCTCTGTGGGTCTCACTATCTACCTTTCTTTGGTTCCCATCCATTTCTAAGCCTTGTTCATTAGACTTCCCATCAATTCCTATCAATAATTACTTTTTGTGCTTAATTTGAACAATGCTAATTTTGGATATAATCGACCAAGAGTCTGGGCTGCCACACCTCACAAATGCATTTTATTTACATAACACCAGAAAAGCAGATCAGTAGAAAAGATTATTGCTTTAGGGGTGGAAAGTGTCAGTATTTTTTTGAGTTTTCAATAATCTATTTCAAAAATCTATTCTTTTCCATAATTAAGTATTTTCCATAATTCAGTATTTCACCAGATTATCACAACTCCACAGAGGAGATAGGAAAAATACTGCTTTTATTTTATAAATTTGTCCAGTGTGATGCAGCAAGTATGAGGAACAGCTGGGACTAGAACTCCTAACACCTACTCCAGAGCACTGTCCATACTGCTCCTTAATATGAGGAGCTCTTTCTTAAAGGTTAAAATATTCCATTTATTGCTATGGAGAATGGCCATTATTAGTTGTGTATTTGATCCTCCTTTCTCTGATCTTCTTGGGTTAATACTTCTCTACTCATGTGGTCCTGAAGGAGTTGTAAACCTTGGTGAACTTGAAAAACAAAAAAATGTGCTAGTCTCAGAGCTGGTTCTTAATTTTAAACACAAAGTAGAAACAAATCTAGGACAGTTAATCAACATTTTAATTACTCAACAAGTCACAAAACATACGCTAGAAATTAAATAAAATGGCAGAAAAAATTGTTTTCTTATGTACAGTCTAATACTATAAGAATTGAAGTTAAAAGCTTCCACAGAAGGAATTACTGTTAATTTTCATTGACGTCACAATGGTATTAGAGTTACACAGCAGAATATTTTTACTCAGGAGATGCATGCTGAAATATTTAAGGGTGAAGTGTTACACTGTCTGCAAAAAATTTTTAAAAATCACATACATGATAGATAGAGCAACCAAATGTGGAAAAGAGTAATAACTGGTGGACCTCAGTGAGGAAGTGCAGGGTATACTGGTACTCGCTATACTATGTTAAGAGTCTCCATGGAAGATGAACACTGAATGTGGTGGCATTTTACATGATAGTAGCTAGCCCATTCTAAAGACAGACACACAAACCATTTGACTTAAACGAGTTTAAAATTCACAAAGATAATTTAACCAAATACCCACAGCAAACAGTCTGGTTCCTAATTAAATCTTAGTTATAAATCATTGGAAAGCACAAGAACTGATTTCAATACAGCCAACATGCAAATTTCCCTTGGAGATATTTGAACTGCGCGAAGAGTAACCGGCACGTTTTCAGTATTTCATCAGTCAAGAATCTAGTACTATTACAGACACACACACCTACTTTTTTCACTGTCACTTTCGAACAAAATGTACTTTTCCTCCTATTACATAAAACCATTAAAATCTTTTATTAGCTTTGTTTATTTTCATTCAGAATATTTACTACATTTTAACTACTTCTTGCTAAAGGTGTTCTTCAAGGAACTTATTTATGAGATGGTTATGAGAGGAAGGGGCTCAAAACCTGTAGCTGGGTCTGTAACTATTACCTGAGACAGAAGAAAATCCTGTAACTCCTGCTCCTGATGAGACAGTGTAATTACTCTTCCATCTCTGTGTACAACTCGGATCTGCTCAACTCCAATATTTAACTGCAGCTGAATAGACCTTTATAGACACAAATACTAAACATTAGAAATGTTCAAAATTACCTTATACAACGCCACAAACATTGAATCTTTACGTCAAAGGAAAAGAAAACAACAAGACAGTTATAATAATCTACTCCAACACCCATGGTTCGGGGAGAGGTCTTTTTAGAATCAACTAAACACACTCCTACAACACTACCACAGGCCATACTGAGCACCAGGTGACTCAGAAGGATACAGGACAGGAACCACAGCTTGCTGGCAGGGCAGCATCAGCTGCTTCTCTTCTATGGCAGTCCTTGCAGAAGGACACACAGCTGTCTACACAGCAGCAGTACAGCTTAGCTGCAAGGAGATGAGATCCACACTGGTTAGGTGGAAGACCTGCCCTCACTTAGAAACCTCATTCCACATAGGAGCCAAGAGCTCTTGTGACAACTCCATAGGCATGGTTTCCTGGATCCCCATAAGAAACATGTCAGTTTTAAGAGTCAGTCCATCCAGGGAAGCCCAAGATGTCCCCATCAGGTATTTATAGTTCCTCTCAGTCCAGATGTATTTTACCAATTTGGGATCATTTTACCATAAGCAACATCACGTGGTATCATAGGTAACATCTTTCCTAACAGGTTACCAGGGGACTAGAGCTAAAGAAGTAACCAAAAGTCAAATTCTCATGCAGAAAGGGAAAGGTTTTGTTAATCCTTTACCTCTCCGAAAATAATCAGCAAACAACCCAGAATTATGTACAATCTGTTAACCTGGCTTAGGTCAAACAGACATACTCATGAAATAGCTAACGAATAAATAACACGCAGATCACACTCTTGCCAACCGAGCTTGCTATTTTTCAACATATGATCTGTATGGGAAGTGCAAAATTCTCCAAATAATCTAGATGACGAAATGTAGAAAAATAGCACTATTATCTTTCTACATTTGATAGTATCTCATTCCTAACTTGTTTTACAGTAAATATTAAGGAGCAGAACATTTTGGCAATTGTCTACATAAAAATACAATTTTAATTAAATTTTCATATTCCTTTCTAAAAAAAACACAAAACTCAGAAGGCTTAAGGGAAAAGATTTATAAATCTAACCAAATTTCTTTAATTTTTTTTTTTTTTTAAACAAACGTGAGGGAACAGGAATTCTCATCACTACGGGTGGGAGCATACTGGTGCAATTGCTTTGAAGAGCAATTTGGTAATACCCATCACAATTTAAATGTTTTTTATCCTTTGACCCAAGAATTCTAGGAATTTATGCTATACAAATATTCACACATGTACAAAATTACTTTCCTGGTACCCAAGACAAATGATAATCAATAGAAAACTGATTAAAAGTTTTGGTATATACAATGGAACACTATGAGGCTGTAAAAAATAATAGAACAGCTTATATGTATTGATAAGGAATGCTTATTCACCAATATAATACTACTGAGTAAAAGAGGCAAGGTACAAACAGTGTAAAAAAGGGGTGGGTAGGCATGGAAGAAGAATATATATGCTTGTAAACACACAGAATTTCCTAGAAGGATGTAGAAGAAACTGTTCTAAATTATTGCTTCTGAAAAGGGACTAAGAGATGAAGTTGTGAGAAAAAGAACTACCTTCAACTTTAAATAGCATCAGATGACCTTAGCTATAAAAGAGAACATCATACACCTTTTCCTCACTTATCAATGATCTCTTTATGTGACATTTTGCATTTATGACAATAGTAAAAAATCTACTAATTTGTTCACTAACAACATATATCTGGCAGTAACAAAGCCTAAGGTGCGAGGTGAGAGTAATGCTGGCTGTGATTAATGCTGGCTGTGATGATTAAGATTATGTATTAACTTGGCTGAGCCATGATTCTCAGGGGTTTGGCAGTCATGTAATGATGTAGTCATCTTCCAATTTCACATAATGCCGATTTCACATAACAACCTCGTCTTTGGAACCTAACCATGTCAATAAGTGAGGACAGGGTGTACTACTTCTTTCTACTTCCTCTACCCTCCTGTTTCTGTCAAGGCAATTATTATCACTAACCTTTCTTCATAGAAGTTTATAACATTTATACTGGGTGGGTCCTATAACCATAATCCCACAGATGTTTCATCCTAGCTCTAGATGTGAACAATTTAATGCTGATGTTTTCCTTTTTCTTTCCTTTGTGCTCACTCACTCTCTCTCAGCTTTTTATTATAGAAAATTTCCAACACAAACAAAAGTCAGGAAGTGAAATGAAACCCCATGTTCCCACTACCTAGCATTAATGGTTATAACCTTACAGCCAAACTTATTTCACATACATTTAAAACTCACTCTTCAATTCCCACCTATAATTCACTCCCACTATTTTACCATTTCTTTAGGTACAGAGGATGAAAAAATTCTATGATCCAGCTTCATTCCACCATATTTTCCTGAAGTTTGAAGTCTTTTTTTCCCCCACTGTGTACTCTTTTATCTTCTATTTTCCTTACTACCCTCACTTATTTTTCATTGAAATATAGTAAATTAAAAATCTCCCCATTAAAAAAATAACATTATAAATGTACTTTATGCCTATTTTACCTACAGGTGGCAATTTTGTGTGTTGCAGAGTGTTTTGCTCACTGGAGAGACCACTGTGTCTGGTTAAGTCTGTCTGAAATAAAGCAAGTGAAGCTTAAAAAATAAAAAGTACTCACAGATCCTGATAAATGTTTGTCAGTGATTCACTCAGACTGACTTAGGGAAGGGGACTCAGCTACATTGTGCCAGCTGTTAAACTTCAAAGAGGCTCAAATGCAGGCCAAAATCACTCTTTCCTGGCTACTACCCAATTCATACTAACTTGTGATTTGTGAATGCAAATCAAGTAGGCTGCATGTCTGTGAAAGCTGGAGACCAAAGCTATTTCACCCCCTTCACAGACAGGTGTCAGCCAGCTATAAGAGCATACTCACGAACTGGATAAGCCCCATGATCAACACCAGACCAGGGAACAGCTACAGAACTTAGCCTGTTTTTTGGCACAATATGGAGGGTACAGGCTCTATGGTAAATGGCCCTACTTACTTCAAATATTCTAGACCTGCCACAGCCTCTAGCAAGAACTGAAGCAGACTTTGAATCTAAGGAAGTTAGGAGCTTTCTGCTCAATGCCGGGGTTTGTTTTTTTATTATAGTTCAAATATATGACATTTACCTAACAGAAACTATTTTAGACATTCTTATTTCTCATTCTTACAAATACTCTACAGTTGATATAATCTACTGTAATGTTATGCTATCCTGGCAAATGAAAACCAAAACACTTGATCTAATCACTCAGCAATCATCAATACATAAAAAGCAACTTCACATATTAAATGCATAACTTTTATTTTTGATACTTACTTGCATATTTGTTCATAACCTTGTGACGTAATTAAAACCTTCACACTAGACTCATAAACATCATTAATATTTGACCAATGAGCCTGTATCTGAGGATCCTCGATGCGACTTGCTAAGCTGTCAATGGTTGCAGCAGTTCTTTTAAAGACAAGAAGTTAAAAAAAAAATTTGTCTTCATATAAAATAAGATTTTAAATCATTTATCCATTTTATAAAGATTTAAAAACTAAATGGCTTTTTAAAAATACCACCATTTGAAAAGCAAAGACTTGATGTATGGTTTTTAACCTCACATTACAACATACTCGCAGGCACATATTCAGGATTATCACAATTCATGGTGGATTTCGCACCTTTTAACTCTACCCGTTTCCTCCCACTAATGAAAACATATTACATCACAAGTGAGAAAGATATTTCTAAGTACTAACCTAATTTCTACAAAGAAAATCAATCACTGATAAATGTCAGTACTTGATCCCAGGTAACAAATGTCTTGGGCCACACCCATACCTGAGACTCACTGTTGTAATGGAGTTATAATCAAACGCAAGAGAAGCTAGAGACATTTTGCACAATCAAACCTTACACTACAAGAGCGATAAAAATGATAAATACAAATGAAAAATAAGATTTATCAAATGCTCATTATGTGCCAAACATTATAATAAGTGCTTTAATGAATTATACTATTTAATCTTAACAACAACCCTGTAAGGTAAGTGTTACTATTTTCTCCATTTTACAGCTGAAAAAAAAGAACGTTAGAAATGTTAGGTCATTTTCCCAAGGTCACACAGCTGTAAGCTGGTGTATAAAACCCAGGAATCTAATTCTAGAGCCATTAATTTTGCCTTTATATCTTACCTTATACACACCAATCAACAGCCACTGCTTAGAACCAAAGCATAAGTCATGTAAATTAAGCAAACTACTTGGAGGCCCTCAGTTTCTATTTATTTAATTCTAGTACTTGATAGGCAAGAGAAAGAAAAGCCGGGAGGAAAATGGGAGAAAAGGAGACCAGCCGTTAGGGAGACAGGGCTTTACATACGCAGGCTTAGGGTTTGCTCTTTTATACTGTATCTGCCCAGTGCTGGTTTCTTTCAATCTGTTTCTAATTTTCTCTTCTTTTTTCATGATTAACTTCCTGAGAGTGCTTCAAAACTCCTGCAGCAGGTAGATGTACGCCATAACGTTCATCTCAGTATTGCATATAACAACAAACTGGAAATAAAAAACGTCTAGCAGTTGAAAATTGGTAAAAGAAATCACAGAAGGTTTACATAATGGGATATTAAAAACTACTAAATTATCTTTGGAAAGCATTTAATAAAAGATTTAAAAATTTACCATATAATTTTAAGCGAATGCAGGATAGAGTTATAGGATTCAGGATTTCTTTTTTTTAAAAAAAAAAGATAAATATACATACACACTTACACATCCAAATAGACCAGGATGCTACTAGTTCTTCCTGTGTGTTTAGGAGAGCCCTGGTGGTGCAGTGGTTAAGTGCTCAGCTGCTAACCGACAGGTTGGCAGTTCAAACCCAGTCACTCCTCGGAATAAGGTGTGGCAGTCCACTTCCGTAAAGATTACAGCCTTGGAAACCCTACGGGGTAACTCTACTCTGTCCTATAGAGTAGTTATGAGTCGGAATTGACTCGATGGCAACAGGTTTGGTTTAGTTTTGGATGATGTCACAGGTGGGGCTTAATTTTATTTTTATACGATTAGAGTAATATTTCTATAACTAAGGAAAAAAGGAACATTTTTAAAGCTTTGCTGCTTCCAACACTAAAAACTGCTACTCTTAGATAAATAATGGTTCTGAAGGTAGTTATTTCCATGCCCGTCATTTATTTCAGGGAATACTGAATTTTATGGTCAATCAGAAATTTGCAAGACTAATGTCTTAGTTATCTAGTGCTGCTATAGAAGAATTACAAGCGGGTGGCTTTAATAAACAAATTTATTTTCTCACAGTTTAGGAGGCTAGAAGTACAAATTCAGAGTGCCAGCTCTAGGGAATGGCTTTCACTGTCAGCTTTGGAAGAAGGTCCTTGCCTCTTACGAGTTTCTGCTCTTGGGTGACCTTCATGTGGCTTGACATCTCTCCTCCCCCATCTCTGATTAGCTTGCTTGTTTGATCTCTTT